CTTCTGGAGCTACACGCAACTATTGCTATTTAGTCACTAAATTGTGTCGCATGCATTCTTTTGCAACCCCATGGACTATAGCCCGCCAGGCTCCTCTGTCCATGGGATTATCCTGGCAAGGATACTGGAGTGGGTTGCCATTTCCTTTTCCACGGGATCTTCCCAACCCGGGGATTGAACCTGTGTCTCTTGGGTCTCCTGCATTGGCAGGCAGATTCTTTGCCACTAAACCACCTGGGAACCCCACATACAACTATAGTTATTCTTTTCCCTACAAGTACTGGTAGGTATGAAATGACCAACAGAGATGCCTCCCACCCCAGGCAGGCTTGCCTCCTACTGCATGTTTTCTCATCCTCATCCAGGAGCTAAATGCTTTTTTGAAAAATATGGGTCAGCTGGTAAAAAATCTGCCTGCCAATGTGGGAGACATAAGAGACACAGGTTCGATCCCTGGGCCGGGAAGAACCCTTGAAGAAGAAAATGGCAACTCACTCCAATATTCTTGCCAGGATAATCCCATAGACAGAGTAGTATACAGTCCATGGGGTCGCAGAGAGTCAGATGACCGTGCACGCACTTGCATACAACATACGTTACTTATTTTAGTGCAAACATTTTTATTGCAGATATTAGCACTTTCCAATAGTCATGGAGGACACTTACTCTTTGTGTAACCCCTTCATCATCACGGCCCACAGTCACCTGGGAGGTTCTGGATTGTTCTTCCCTCCCGCAGCCTGCAGAGGTGGCCACCTGAGCCAGCTTTCTGTTATTCGGTTGCTTCATCCCCTTCAATCAGGTGGGCACCCTCTCAGGTCCAGCTTGGCTTAGGGAGGGCAGGGGCTCAGTAACTAGGGATGACTCTTCTTCCCTCAAGATATGGTGGGAGTTCACAGAGCCTGCGAACAGCGGTTCCTCCCCCACCTCTGATGCACCAGGATACTCTCTCTGACCCACTGGCTGTGGCTTGGAAGCCACTGGGTACCTGTCCAAAGACCAGGCCAGTGGTCCTGCCAGAACATCCCTGCTGTCCTCCTGGGGTTTCAAGAAGGGCCTGGATCAGGGAGACTTCTGTCCAATTCCTGAGATGCCCAGACACACATTCCACAGGCATCTCAGGTCCCCAGGTGGCTCCAGCTCTTCGGAGGGCTCTCTGTCAGGGTCCCTGTATGGTGAAACCTGTATCTGTTAGTTGTTCAGTCACCAAGTCATATCACTCTTTGCGACTCCATGGACCGCAGCATGCCAGACCTCCCTGTCCCTCATTATCTCCCGGAGTTCGCCCAAGTTCATTTCCATTTAATCAGTGATGCCACCCAGCCATCTCATCCTCTGTTGTCCCCTTCTCCTCCTGCCTTCAATCTTTCCCAGCATCAGGGTCTTTTCCAATGAATCAGTTCTTCGAATCAGGTGGCCAAATTATTGGAGCTTCAGCTTCAGCATCAGTCCTTCCAAAGAATATTCAGGACTGATTTCCTTTAAGATTGACTGGTTTGATCTCTTTGTTTTCCAAGGGACTCTCAAGAGTCTTCTCCAGCACAGAAGTTCAAAAGCATCAATCCTTCGGTGCTCAGCTTTCTTTATTGTCCAACTCACATCCATGCATGACTACTAGAAAGACCGTGGCCTTGGCTATACAGACCTTTGTTAGCAAAGTAATGTCTTTGATTTACAACACAGTGTCTAGCTTTGTCATAGCTTTCCCGCCCAGAAGCAATCATCACTACCCAGTCTCTAATCCACCTTTCCAACAGGAGTGTCCTGATTTTCCTTTAGCAAACTACCACCCCCAAGTTTGGGGTAAGATCGACTGCCTGACCCAGCCTGGGGTCCAGGGCATTCTCTTCCCCTGGCCACCACAGCTTGTCTTAGGAGTGGGCACAGCCAAGGCCATTCCTAAGGGGAATGGCCACCGTACTACATCAATTCTGAGATGCCGTGAATGATAAAATGTACCCTTATCTAGAGCATCTCCAAAAGAGAAAAAAATGTTGCCAGCTTCAACTGTAAGATGCCATCCACTCTTGCAAGAGCAATTAAAATGTGGGGAGGAAAAAAAGTAAGTTTCTATGTATGTGTGTGTTAGTCCCTCAGTCATGTCTGACTCTTTGCAACTCCATGGACTGTAGCCCACCAGGCTCCTCTGTCCATGGGATTTCCCAGGCAAGAATACTGGAGTAGGTTGTCATTTCCTTCTCCAGGAGATCTTCCTAACCCACGGATCAAACTCATATCTCCTGCTTTGCAGGCAGATCCTTTACCATCTGAGCCACCAGGGAAGCCCAGTTTTTATGAACAACATTGAATTTGGGGTTTGAGAAGGGACAGCGACGACAAGAACTCTTTCTACTGGGATCCATGGGCTGAGGTTAAGCTTGGAGATGCCAGAGCCATTTGTGTTTTTGTGCATGGAGCCTGCTTGCACCTTAATGAAATCAACACTGGGGAGGGGTGACTGTTGTGAACACTGGGTCCAGCCATTGTTCACACTGGATCATGGTGCAGCATATTTTTCTTTGCCAGTTGGGCCCAGAGTGATGACTAACACCCCTGCATGGTACACTGCCCATGTGGTGCCTCTCCTGACTCAACAGTCCCCACCAGAGCCACATGTCCCCGAACACGATGTCAATGCGTGGATACAACAGGAAGCCTGGAGCTCCAGCACCTGCTGGAATGGCAGATCCTGCCCCCCTGACCTCATACAATAATTGTAAAGGAAGGCAAGAGAAGGGAGGAAAAGAAGGAGATACGGATGGGAGGGAGAGAGGAGGGTGGGGAGAAAAGAATGAGGCAAGCGGGAGAGAAAGAGGGGTGGCTGAGTGGGGAGGGACCCTTGTCCAGAGTTAAGATCAAAGTTTTCCATAAGCTGGCCACCGAAGTGAAAGCCCAGGGGAAGGATGCTGAATGTCAGCTTCTCCGACGACGGTTTCCACTCTGCTGCCGCGTCAACAGGAGGCCTGAATCAAACTGCCTGCCACACCCAAGTAGCTGAGGCTGGGCAGTGAAATGCCTTCAGCCAAGGCCCCGAAGAACCGGTACCAGGGGCGGTGACCTGGAAGAAGACGGCAACTCTGGGTGAGTCGGCACTGGGTGTGGAGAGGGTAAGTGGAAAACCAGGGGCCCGTGGTACCCAGGCCCACGTGCAGGAGCTGATGGGCGGCGCCCTCAGCCCAACAGGGATTCAGAAGAAATCTGCACCCAGCTCAATGTCCTCACAGTCGTTCAACATGGAGTCTGGAAACCACAGAAATGAAAGGGCTACATGGGTCATGGTCAGGGGTCTGAACTCTCTGCTCACTCTCTGCTCGGAGGGAGGCAGCAGGTGTGTCTCTGGGCGGGGCACAGTGAGAACGAAGTCATGAGACACCTGAGCCCACAGAAGCACGTCTCCAAGGCTGGGGTTGAGACACAGCAGGCAGATACTGTATGCTGGGTGGTCCCCGCCCTGGCTATCCTGGTCGGTAACAAGGGAATGTTTGCTGCTGGGTCACCCCTGCTTCTGAGCTCAACTCCAGGCTGCCCTTCCAAAGGGCGTCTCCATACCACGTGTGACCGCCTCGACCTCTGGTCTGCAGAAATCCGATTATTTGAGCTCATGTATAAAAAGATGTAGTCTCACGGGCTTCAGAGAAGCAGGAAGAGAACGCAAGCTTTATTGACATCAAGCAGACTTTCTTCCACGCGTTCTACATCCAACAGTAATACAACATAGTAAAGCACAAGGCATATTAAAACATAGCCAGTTCTAAGCAGTCTGGATATTTCCTGTTATAGAAAAGAAGTAACCTGCCCACAGATTCACATTAACATACACGGTACATTAATATCAATCTCTGCTTCATACACCAGGCCAAGGGGCATGTGTACATACAGGCTGGGGTCCTTCAACAAACTGACTCTCACGACAGCATCAGCGGGAGGTGTGGGACCCACTTGACAATGAAAGAACAATCCTGGAGTTGTCTCGGGGGCCACACCCCGAAAGCTGAGGCCCCCGCACAGTGTAGCTGTTTGTAAAGCAAGTCAGGAGTCCCCTGGGAGACCCCAACACAGCATCACTCACCACAAACCACCGTCTCTCCAAAAACAAGAACTGGAGAGAAAACGACATGAAAGGTGGGTCACTGAACTCGATAACACTGTTCTGAGTCCAGAACTGAGGCTGTCAGTTCATTTTTCTTGACTTTTGGACAGCTGACTTTAGAGTTCAAATATTTTACGCAACATGAAATGAACAAAGGCAGGTGGCACAGTTGGCATCTGTGTGTGGCCACCCACAAGGACTGAGTGATGGACAAACTTGGGTGTAAAAGGGCCAGTAAGACGACTGCTTTTGTTTTAAAAAACCAACTTATCAGTTTATGCTCATTGCCCACAAACTAGATTACCTACTTTTTATTTAAATTTTCATTATCTATTTGGCTGCGCGATGTCTTAGTTGTGCATGCAGGATCTTCAGTTGTGGCATGAGGGATCCACTTCCCTGACCAGGGCTCAAACACAGGCCCCTTGCATCGTGAGTGTGGAGTCTTAGCCACTGGACCACAAGGGAAGTCCCTGAAGTGCGTGCTTTTAACAGATCTCAAGCGACAGCTGACACTCTTCATCCATTAACGATATTCTATAAAACAAGAATCCCACTCAAACTTTCTGGAGCAAGCTTCTTCACTGCTGCAAATGGAGACAAAAGACTCAGCTCCCCCAACACCTGTGTTCCCGTGCACTCCAGGCAGCTGCTCAGGACAGGTGGGCTCACGGCTCTGCCACCGAGGGACCAACCAACATCAGGAGTGAGGGACGGCCAAATGCCTCCGGCCCACCATCCCTCCGACACGGGGTGCCCACTGGCAGCGGCCAAGCGCACTCTGACCAACCTCATGGGGAGGGCGGGTAACGCCTAAGCTCGGTCAGTGTCCCGCAGGCCACGGACAGGACGAGCAGAGCACAACGCTGGGACAGGAACCCTGCTGGGCCCCGTCTCCGGGGTCAGCAGGCTAGGTCTTGCTCCGCCGGAGGAGCGTGGCGGCAGGACTGGGGCCGCCCTGGAACTTGAGGCTCTGTAGGTTGACATGGGCTCCGTGTCTGAGCAGAGTCTCCACCGTCTTGGCATGTCGGCCCCGGGCGGCCAGGTGCAGCGCGCTGAGGCCCTGCTCATCGGACAAGTCGAGCACGTCGGCGCTGACCAGCTCCTCCACCACCTCTGAGTGCCCGCCGGCAGCCGCCAGGTGTAGTGCCGTCTGGTTGCGGGGGCCCCGGGCCAGCATGTTGGCCCGCTCCTCCACCAGCAGCTTGACGGTCGCCAGGTGCCCGTTGCGGGCGGCCAGGTGCAGAGCGGTGCAGCCCTCTGCGGTCACCGCCTCTCTGCGGGCGCCCCGGTGCAGGAGCAGCCTGGCCGTGCTCGTGTGGCCCGTCTCCGCAGCCACATGCAGCGGTGTCTGCGCCAGCAGGTTGCACACGTTGACATCGGAGTGTAGGTCAATGAGGACGCGAGCCACGCGATAGTGCCCGCGCTGGGCAGCCAGGTGCAGGGGTGTCCTCCCGTCCAGCGTCTGGGCGTCCACACTCACTCCTGGCTGCTTGGCCAGCAGCTTAACGATGGGTAGGTGGCCCTGCCAGGCGGCATAGTGCAGCGGCACCCAGGCGTCCTTCCCCGGCAGGCCTGCATCCACGCCACGGCGCAGCAGGATCCGCACGACGCCCTCCTGGCCGTGCTGGCAGGCCACGTGCATGGGCGTCCGACCCTCACAGTCTGCCTCGCGCACGGAGGCGTTCTTCTCCAGCAGCAGCCGCATGCTGCCCTCATCCCCGTTCTGGGCTGCGAAGTGCAGGGCCGTCCACTGGTCCTCATCCGCAGCATTGACACTGATCTTCCGGGCCAGTAGGAGCTCCACAATGCCCCGCACCCGCTTCTCCACGGCCACGTGCAGCGGGGTGGATCCCCTCCTGTTGGTGAGGTTGGGGTTGGCGTTGTTGAGCAGCAGCCACTTGACACAGTCCTCCTGCCCGGCCTCCACGGCCAGGTGCAGCAGGCTGGCACCCCCGTCCAGGACCAGGTCCACGTCCTGGGGCTGCAGGATCTTCATCAGCCTGCTGGTGTCCCCACTCATGATGGCGTCCACCAGCTTCTTCTTCTGGATGTCGGTGGTGCCAAGGTCTGTGGGGAGAGCAGATACAGGGGTCAGACAGGGCAGCTCCCAAGGTCTGGCCAGTGTCTGAATGTAGCTACGGTTTACCTGAAATCGCTAAAGTGTTTACCCATGTGGTTTAATTTAAGATCTAGTGGGGAGACCTCAGGCAAGTCAATGAATAGCCCCAAGGTGCTCTTTCGTCAAATTGCAAAATGAAAATCATTCCAGCTATCCGATAAAGTTATGATCAAATGAAGGATATAAAATTCAGGCCCTTGCTGGTGCTCAGCAACGGCAGTGACTGCTAACAAGGGAGAGGGGGCGGTGAACACAGAGCAGGCAGGAGCCCCTGACCCACCGGAGAGCTGGCAGCTCCCACCCCGGGGCACCCCTCCAGGGTCAAGCAGCTGCCTGCAGCCCAACCTCCAAACGGTGCCTCTTGTGCCAGTACCACCACCTAGGAGGCTTTCTAGAAAAATCCTCCAAGGGCTGAGACTCACTTTAGAAGGACTGTTACTCATGATGTAAACATGTACATGTTTGATTTGCAGAAAAATCCCACCATATTGTCTGGGGTTCTGATATGCATGGAACAAGACACCTTGATGGGAACCATGCTCAGGGGGCCTTGCACAGGATGTGGGGGGTGGGGGTGCCGGGTGTACTAAGAAGACAGTAAACGCAGTTGGGACTGGGTGTTACAGCACAGGCTCCTGAGACGGACTGATGACTGATCTAAGCACGAACACGTCACCCGAGGGTATCAGACCCCGAGAAGAGAGCGTGCTAATGACTTTCTCCGTGGAAAACAGGTGCTTCTTTCTTTCCAACCTCATCGCTGACTGCTCACCTCCGATGCAGCCAGGCCTTCCCTACCTCTGCATCTTGCAAGGTGTTTCCTTACCCAAAATGCTCTTTAATCCCAAACACGCCACTCTAAAAATCCCAGGAGGTCCAAGGCATCTGGGCAAGGCCCTCTCTCCAGGAAGAGCAAGCTCCCTTCCTCCTGAGGGGAGGACCCTCCCCATGACCCTCCGGCCACCCTTGTACTGCAGGCCTACACATGAACATCTGCTTTTCCCACATGGAAAGGAAACCTCACACATTGTCCTCACCGGAGACGCAGTGAGGCCCTCACAGGAGGGCCCCCATGCCCCAGGGCCAGCAACTGGGACAGGGCAGGGGCAGGGAAAAGTGCCTTCCAGAAAGAAAACCCAAGGTGTATAGTCAGGACCAGGCAGTTATGACCTCCAACGACAGTGCACCCATCAACACACACAGGTCCAGGAAACGGGAGCCCATGAAGAGGAAAGAATGGGATGTGTACCAGCGCTGCCTGAGAAAGGGGGTAGAGGGCTGACATTACAAAAGAGAGAAAGGTCTCCAGGAAGAGGGGGTCCATCCATTCACTGGGCTACCTGGTACAATCCAGTGTCTTCAACCTACACACCTGAGGTCAGTCCCTGCACGCGGTGTCGGCACAGGTGAGACCCTCCACACAGCCAGGGGCATGACCCACTCCCCTTACACCTAAGTGACACCCACTCAGCCCGTGTGCAGCCCCAGTGTGCACTGACACGCAAACCCAATAAGCAAAGAGCTGCCGAAAACACAGAACTACAGCCGGCTCAAGAAGCAAGACGCCTGGTCCTTTTCAGCTGCTCACACCCTGCCTGCCCCACCCCAAATTAAGCCCACTGCTCCCCAGGCGTGGGGGCCCTGCTCACCACTCGCTGAAGGCTCCCGCTCAAAAGACAAAGACAGTGACCCTCGGGAGGAGAAGGCGGAATCCACGGAGGACACCCCCGAGAGCCGCTTGCCGCTGCTCGCCGACGGAAGTTTGGACTCGGAGGAGCTGCGGCTGAGCTCTTCCGGGCCCTCAAGGGTCTGGGAGATGCCCGAATCCAGCTGGGACAGCAGCTCGGAGAGGCTGTGATCGTTGTCGAAGGTGGGGGCAGATGCACGCTTCAGCGGGGCGGGCACGGGGGCCTGCGGAGACAAGCAGACAGAAGAGATGAGGCTCCGTCCGTGACCCGATGGGGCAGGATCAGGGGATCAGAGAACTTAACTCCTGCTCCCAGACGGTGCTGGTGCTAAAGAAAGGGAAAGTGTTACTCACTCAGTCGTGTCCCACGCTTTGTGGTAAAGAGCCTGCCTGCTAATGCAGAAGACCTAAGAGACATGGGTTCAACCTCTGGGTCAGGAAGATCCCCTGGAGAGGGAAATGGCAACCCACTCCAGTGTTCTTGCCTGGAGAATTCCATGGACAGGGGAGCCTGGCGGGCTACAGTCCACGGGGTTACTAAGAGTCGGACACGACTGAAGCAGCTTAGCACGCAGCACAGCACCCAAAGACTCCAGCAAGAGGACACTGTAAGACAAGATGGTGGGAACACATGTCCATCACCAGGCTGAGCCCCAGCGCACCACTCTAGAGACCGAAGGTGAATCAGCTGCAGGAAGTGAAGCCTGCATGTCGGGCGGGTCCACCCAGGACAGGTCAGTGCCGACAGGAAGCAGAGGAAGGAGATGGCTTCGGGTAGGGTCCTAACACCCTGACCCTCCGTGGGGCCGTGCAAGGCTGGCCTGGGGGCTGCGGGTGCACAGGTGAGGTGTGGGGCCCAGCCCTGGGGACGGCGCGGCGTTCCAGCTCAACCGGTGCTAACGGGCCCTTCGCAGGCTCGGTCCTGACAGCGAGCAGAAAGGCAGGTCCTAGTGAGGGATCAGAGCCTGCGAGGGGTTCACAACCCTTCCCCATGTCCTCCGACCCAGCAGCCTGGTGCGCCGAGTCACACCCACGTGCTGGGCCGCTCTTTTCCTTATCGGGGGCCAGGTCCTCTCCACCTGGATCCCCTCCACCGTCACTTTGCCCTCTGACCTGACACACACAGCCCTCATGCTCAGATAGCAGACACACCATAAACTTACTTATCTGCTGGCCTTACACTCGGCCAGGGATGATAACACCAGATAACACCTTATAAAGTCAGTTTATCAGCCTCCACTTTACAAGTCCTACTGCCTTAAAGGTATTTAGTTAGTTAGCATAGTTAGAATTTCTTATCACATCTTACATAACCTGTGTGGCGCGCTCGTAGAGGAAAAACATTTATGGGCAGTTAGAAAGGCACCAATCCCCAACCTCGAGGTGCAGAAAGACACCCAGACCCCCAGAGCCCAGACCCCTCTCTCCAGTGTGGCCCAGCGGGGTCTTCAAGCAGCTCCCCTGGTTCAAACAGCATCCGGCCCGGACTTCCCTGGCAGTCCAATAGTTAAGACTGTGCCCCTTCAATGCAGGGGGTGCGGGTTCTGTCCCTGGTCAAGGAACTAAGATTCCACGTGTTGTGCAGTGCAGTCAGAACACACACACACACGCATACACATACAAAGGATCCAGACGGCAGCCACTTAATGTCAGCCGTGGGCCCACATTGCCCTTCCCTAAGCACAGACAGGAGGTGGGCATGGGATACTGTCAGGCAGGAAACCAATCTGGGGCCAGCACACCATGCACCTACTCCCACCCTGAGACAGAACTCTGCCCCGGAGGGTCCCCATTACCTCGGCCTCGGCATCAGGCAGGTCTCTCACATCTGGGTCTTGAGTTGTCTCTTTCACCTCCTCATCAGGTTTTTCACACAGGTCTTCGGTTTCAGAAGTGATTTCTTTGGAGGGAAACACAGACAGGTGTGTCACTCAGACAAGGAATTAGCAAATGAGCTACTTAAGCATGTGGCCTTGGAGGGGACCAGCGCCTGCAGTGTTCAGTCTGACTGGTCAGCGCTGCCCATGCTGCTGGCCCCTAGCTGGGCTCACAGTGGACCCCCAGCACCCCCATCAGCAACCACAGGCAGGGTCTGGCCAGACTCTAAAAGGAGCCACCGTGTCCCTGTTTCCCCAAGAAGCTTTCGTCCAGGGAACCCCGCTAGCCAGCCCAACCAGAACTCATACCCTGACAGCCAGGGCTGCCAGCACCAGGCGAGAAAGCCCCCACCTCGTTCACCCTCCTTTTCCTCATATGTTTTAAACGTCATGATCAATTCCAGTGGCATCAGGATCACTCTCCTAACCAAAGGACACAGCTATTCCCTGGGAACGAGGCCCCAAGAGAAATGCAAAGAAGGCCACAGGCCAGTGGTCACACGGTCCCCAAAAGATGCACTACTATATCTGAACCCGGAACACCAGGCTCCTCGGGACAGCAGGCTGCAGCTGGAGGTGGACAGCTGGAGATGACCAAGCGGTTCCAGCCACCCCTCCCTGGCCCTGGGAGCTGGAGGGCCACAGGCGGGGGCCCTGGGCAGGCACAGCCTGCAGGAGGCGGGCTCACTCTGGCACTCCTGTCTGTGGATAGCCTCCTTGTCCCGGCTGCCACCTGTCCCCTTCCTGGCCATCAACTCCGTCCCCTGGGATGACAGCATGAGCGTCAGGCCAGCAGGGCTCCCGGAGCCCAGGGCGGGTGCTCACCTTGGAAGCTGGGCCGCTCCCGGGGGTCCCCATGCCAGCAGCGCTGCATGAGGCGAAGGAGGCTCCTGCAGGCGCGCGGCCGGGGTCTGCAGACAGGCGGCAGCTCCGGCCTGTGGCCCTTCACCACCTTCACCATGATGTGCAGGATGTTTTTCTCGTCTGCAAAGGGAAGGCGCGCAAGTCAGGGCAGCTCCCCGGAGTTGGTCGGATTTCTTATCTTCTGGAGGAGCGACGACGACCACGGGAAAGTTTGGGCGCCCGCCCGGGAGACACGGTATTATTTCCTCTTCAAAGCACAGAGGTTTCTGAAATCCTTAACCTTGCCGGACACACCTGTCCTCTATTCTCCAGGTGTTGGAAACCACCTGTGATCTACCGAGGGGAGTCACTCTCTTGTATCACAGAGATCTCTCTGTGCAGCGAACTCAAAGAAAAATCAAGTTCAAAGAAGAAAAATATCTAATGGGGCAGGTTCCAAAGGGGCCCAAACAGAGGAAAACTGAACTGTGGAGTCACACTGCCCAGCCCCCAAGTGGCCCATAGCTCCCTGCAACAACGAAAGTCTTTCTGAATTCCTACCCCAAAGCGCAGGTGCCTGGCGATGAGCCGGCCCCAGTGATGGTCACACATGGGCTGTGTAAATGGGGACCCTTCTCCTGCAATTCGTAATGTGGGGCCCCACCTGGCCTCCTTTCCAACCCCCTTCAGAAGCAGGCACGGACCCCTCACAATCATCATCCTGGTCACAGAATGAGGGGCCCAAGGCGACCCTCAGGGCCCAGATTTCCTCAGCCTAAGACCACACCGGCCAGCAAGCAGGAGCGCAAGCTTCTGGTTCCCACCACGCCCACGCCAGGGGACTCCCGAGATGCCGAGCCACAGGGATGGAAAACTGGCCCAAAGTCCCCGATGGCTGCCAGGAGTCTGCTCTGATGTTTTGTTCCACTTTCCCGTTAAATCTTATGCAACAGCGAGCTCAGGTATCTACATGTTATCTCCACAATAACTCAGATTTCCAAAACCCAGCAGGTCCTCTGGGTAAAACGTAAGTCACCTAAACACCTGGAAGGGTTTCTGCTGCCAAACACAGATGGAACAGTTTCATAAGCTGCCTCTGCTCACCCTGGATGGCCCATCGACCAATTGACAAAGCATGGGCACCTCAGCTCCCAAGTTCCTTCCCATCGTGTCTGATCCCGGGGGCCATGTCTGGCAGATGGCCATGGTCAGACGGGCACACAGCCACACCGAAAAGAACCCAGACCCTGGACCTCTGAGGAGGAGGCAGCGTCATGGAGACAGGGTAACAACTACGGACAAAACCCCAGAAGGATCCTACTCTGCTTCTCAACCAGCAGACCTAGGGCTGCACACTGACTCTGATCTGCATTTTTATAATTTTTTGGTCAAGCCAGAAAAGGTGAAGTAGCCCAGACAGGCTTGGAGAGGAAGAGGAAATCTTTCCAAAATAAAGAGAAAACGTACTTGACTTTTCCAGTAAACCCAGTCAAGGTACTGAAATCTCAAGGCCAGAAATCCACATGGTGAGTGCCTGGTGAGTGGGGTCGGGGGAAGGAGGAAACCCCCAGCTCTCAGGCTGGACGGGCTGACCCAGGGACTCTGACCTGGGGGCACCCCTCTGCGGCAGCATCTACACAGTGATTCTGGAGACTGGCTGCCCCACAAGGAGAACACCCTTCACACGACTGCACCATACACTTCAACATGGTTCTGGTAGTCATTTCTGTTAGACATGTATTTTACAACCAAGAATTTTTAAAAATTTTTAAAAAGCTAGCTGGAAATAAGTACAACAGACAAACCCACAGAAACAGAAAACAGATGAGTGGTGATCAGGGGCTGGGGGTGGGGGATTGGGAATGACTTGCCTAATGACCTTGGGGTCCAGGTGGTGATGACTATACAACACTGTGAGCTTAATGCCACAATGTATAGCTTAAAGTGATTAAAAATGGGAATTTTAGCAACTAAATGCTACTAAGAAGTACTTTCAAAAAATTGTAATGTGAATTATATTCTATGTATATTATGTCACACAACACAGAGGAATGAGCTGGTACCTAACAAGATCCACTGACTGGACCTCATCAGATCTGTCTTTCCCTGTATGTGAACTATGTGGCGAGATCCCCTTTTTGGCATATATGAAAGCCCGCAATGAGGTGGGCCGTGGGGCTCCCTGCTGACCTGCTGGGCTGGACAGAGCAGCCTCACCGCCCCACCCGCCTGGACAGCCCACCAGCTCCACAACCCAGGGCAGCCCCCTCTGCAACTGGCAGGCCCACTTTACACAGAACACGCCCTTCATGGAGCCAGGAGAGACGGCTGCACGACCCCCAACGCGTGCACTCACCTGCAAACGGCTTCTTCTGCGTGAGCACGCCCCAGATCACGATGGCAAAGCTGCAAGGAGACGGGCACGTCAGTGTCTGCAAGTCAGATTCTCAAACAAAGCCAGAGCCCCCCCCCCCCCACTCCCCTGACACTGCAATAAGCTCAGGAAAACCACCACCTCAACCAGAGTCTTCAAGAGACGGGGGAGAGACAGAGAGAGAGAGAAGACAAGGAGGTATTTTTCATGAATTTTTTAAAATGGGCAAATACTCTTGTGGTGGGACAAGGCATGTTGGAAGCTCAGATGTCAAACAACAGACAAAACTCCATCGACTGAACTGTCGGTCCAAACAGCAGGAAGGGGTCCCTGAGAGAGAGCCACCCTGTCCCTGGACCACCAGCTTGTGAGGAGAAGGGCACAGCTGCTTCATTCACGTCGTGTTCTTGCAGACACGTCCACAAGATGCTGACTACAGCTCTAGGTGTCTTGAGTAACTTGCCCACTGATGTCATCCAAGTGCACGGGAAAGATAAGCAGGCAGCCAGCTGAACTTTCCACAGCCCTTTGTGCTGATTAGAAGCTACATATACTTGTGTGGTAATATATATATAAATGGGGTTGGCCAAAAAGTTCATTTGGGTTTTTCTGTAACATCTTATGGAATACGTGAATGAACATTTCGGCCAACCATATAAATATACATACATAAATGTGTGTGTGCACATATTTTTATATATGTACACATATTTATCGATATATATATAATACATACATATAGACACATGTGTATACACACACACACATATCTATCTATATAATTGTTCTGGATAGACCCCCCAAAGAGCTCAATCTGGTAAATTTAAAAAAAAAAAAAAAGAAGAGGTTCAAACTTGGGCTATCAGCCTACATTGGGTTAACAGCACCTGTTTATAGAGGCACAAAAAGTCCTCAGTGAAAATGAAGTGAAATGTGCCAGTTCAAAAACTGAAACTCTCCACTCTGAATGAAGAGAGAGTCTTGTTCCCCCCGAACCCTACGAGCCGGGCCCAGCGCCCCCTGCCCTGCTCGCCCGCAGACGGACAGGGAGAAGCCCAGCAGACCCAGGGCGGCTGTGGTCAAACCAGCTGGCCGGGACTCCAGGCGGCGGCGATGACAAAGGCTGGGCTTGGGGTGACCGTCATCCGTGTGGACAAGAACCACAAAGACGGGCTCAAGTGCCACTCGCACCCGCCCGCCTGCCTTTCTTCTTCGAGAAGTCTGAGGGATTAAGACCATGACAAGTTGGGAAAGGATGCTACCACGTGATTCCTGGTTGTTCTCTGCCTCGGAAATCCCCAATGCTGGCTTGTGAACAGCCTCCAGGTGTCCATGTGCCTGTCACAGGTCAGGGATGCTAGGAAGGGTAAGTTCTGAGCCAGAGGGACTAGATTTGGGAGCCTGAATTCACATGCAGACAGCCGCACAGACCACTGAAAGCAGGCTCTCTCAACAGCCAAGTGAGAAAGCCCACCTTTCCTGCAAACACCAAAGCTCTCACCAGGCAGGAGCTGCCCATCCGTTACGTAACCGGCTTTGACTGACACCAGCCATTCACAACCTCCATCCTGGGCGGCATCACCCACAGCAGAGAAGTTCCTCTTGTAAGAAAGTTCTGGGGTTGGGACTTGCCTAACGGTCCCTGGTTAAGACTCTGAGCTCCCCATGCAGGGGGCATGGGTCCGATCCCTGGTCAGGGAACTAAGACCCCCACATGCGGCACAGCGCAGCAAAGAAAGAGAAGAAAACAGAAAGTTCTGGGGTGGCTTGTGCCCACCAACTAAAAGCCCTCTCATCTGGACTGAACCTCTTCTCTGACGGTGCCCGGGAGCCCTTGGGAAAGCCCCCTGCGAACCTGAGGAATGGAGGTGCAGAGCCAGGGGCTCTACACCTGCCACCCACCTGTACACGTCATGCTTGGTGTCGAAGAGCCGGCTCTTCTCCCGGATGCGCTCCGGAGGGAGGTAGGCGATGGTGCCAAACAGGCCGTCCATGCTGAGGTCATGTGAGTGGGACAGCCCGTTGCACTTGGCCAGCCCGAAGTCGGAAATCTAGAACAGAGTGGCGAGGAAGGGGCTGGTCAGGTTTGGCTGACAGTGTGCCGAGCGAGGCGGCCCGGCTGCCGCTTGAGGACGTTTATCATCATGTCCCCTCAGCAGTGTTGGGGGGTGCGGTCCCCCAGCCTGGCTGTGCAGGCCCCGTCACCAGTCAGGATCACAGCTCTCACTGCGCTCCCCGAGCAGGTGGGAAGGCCCGGCCGGCCAGGGAAGAACCAAGCCTGAAGACATTAAGAGCTTGATGGACTGGGAAAAGATTACACGATCAGGAAGGAATTCACTGGGAGAGGGAACTGAAGAATTACAGCTTGTCTGTGGGGCGTTGCGTCTGCCCCGTCGCACAAAGGGAGGAAGCGGCCCTCCGTTTTCAGGTGTTGGGGCAAAGCAGTTATGCAATCTCGCAGCTGGGGAAGCAGGCAAGTGGCGGCATGTCCTTTAAAGGGAAATATGTTTTCAGAAGCCCTTTAAAGCGAGCAGAACACACGTGGCCAATCTGTCCTCCAAGCAGAACGTTCTGGGGATAAGACACTTGCTGGCTGCAAAAACACAGCAAGCATCCCAGCTTCCTGTAACCAGCTCGTACACGGCAGAGCCCACCAGTCCAAGGACACGTGTTCCCAGGGGTTCGGCTCTCACACCCCCTCTGCCTCCTCGGCTCCTGGGACAAAGGTGCCCACCCTGAAGGTCTGGGGAAGCCACAGAGGGGAAGTCACTGCAGGGACCCACCACCCTCCAGCCCCCCACCCTGGCTGTCAATCAGAGCCCTTGGTGGTGTTAAACACCTCTTGCAGTTAAGCCACACTTGCTGGCCGTTTCCTTTATAAATTCTCCTCTGAGGCTCAAGGATTTTTCTAAGCCTTCTAATTAATTCTGGGCTCCTCCTCAAACACACCTCTGGAGTGATCGGAAATGCGGCTGAGTCAGGCCTTTAGTTCTGGGCTCACCTGCCCACAAGGTGAGCCAGGGGCCTGGTATCATCACCGCTGAGCAAGGGAAGTTCATGACTGGGGACCTGGTCCTCACATCTGCAGGGGGTGAGGGGTGGTGACGGAAAGAAAGCCTGCAAGACTGGACCTGGCCCCCTATTTCTGCGGCCAGGCTGTGCTGGGGTGGGCGTGGGTCCATGCGAAGGAGGCCAATCTGGCCATTTCTGGGCCCACGGCAGCTGTCCGTTCTCTGGCCTCCAAGACACTTTCCACTCTGGAGAGCAAAGCACCAGCTCCCCACAACAGACTCATCACCCAACCCCGCAGCTCGGGACCGAGGAGACAGCAACACAAGCAAACAGCTGGATGAGTGGAAAGTGTCAGGACCAGACTCTCAGAAGCGCGCTGGCTGCCCTTTCTTTTTATTTCTGTTGTTTTCACGTGCAGCCAGCTGCTTCATGATATACGGGGTGAAAGGAAAATAAGCATAATTCTATGTGAAAGCCCTGGCATCAAAAGCAAACTCGGGAATGAGAATCCTCTGATGCCCACTGACCCTCCGGCCCACCAGACTTCTTCACCTGACCTTTCTCATCTCCCCGTCTGTCCCCAGGTTCCTGGAGAGAGGGACAGTGTGGCAATCCCGGTGACCAGCAAGTGTCCATAATTCACAAATGAATTCACACTTAGTGTCCACCTTGGTACTGCCCAGAGCCAGTGTTCACGCAGGCCCCGAGACACAGCCCTTCCCCTGCCAGACCCAGCTGGACGAGACTAACAGAGATTAATTGAGGGACAAGGCCTTGGGGAGAAGGCCATTGTGGGCCACAGAGGACAGGACCCTGGGGGTCCCCTTAAATACAGTCTGGGGTGAGCAGCCTGGGCCTCAAGTGTAGCCTGAGGTTTTAAATGAGTTATTTCATTATGAAATTGAAATGGGTTCACTCCTTACACTGAAATTAATATTTTAGTAGTGACACTTCATATACTTAATATCAAGTATTCATTTAACATTAAGCGTCTTGAATACTCATTCCAAAACATAGTGGTTGCTGTGAAATTTTCAGTTCCAATCCTATCTATGGACATAAGTGTAGTCTGGAGGGATCAAGGGAAGGGGATGGAGTGACAACTTATCATCTTATTTTAAGGTTGCAGATTCCAGTTATATTGCTGCAAATAACCATCAACTAAGAACTGCCCAGAAATCCAGCAGATGACTTAGAACCTCAGACCAAGCTCCCACTGAGCCATTCCTGAGGATGAAACAAATGCAGCCCGTAAATACATTTTCTGCTGGTCTGGGGCTGTGCATGGTGACTGCCACCCTGCTTGAGAAGGGCGTCAGGGAGAAGTCCGTTCCTGACCTCTCCGGGGAAGTGAGGTGGTGCCCTGGCTGTGTCCTCAAAGTGACAACATCCCCTCCCCACCTGTTCCTAGCCATCCCAGGTCCCCAACGACAAGCCACACGGCCCTTTACGGAATGTTCACCCACTTCCTAAAACTGTCACAAAACACCAGGCAGGCCTGCCAAGCCGGGGGCTGCCAAGAGGAGGAAGAAAGCGGAGGGAGAAAGTGCTCAAATGAGGAGCCTCGGAACCGACGCAGAAACACAGAGACCACAGGGACACCAGCCCCGGGTGCCACCCTGCTGGGCGGGGGTTCGGTCCTCCTGTGTACCCAGCATCGGGACCATCCCTGGGTGAAGGTCAACACCCGGTACGGACAGCAGAGGGATTATGTCCTGGCCATTCCAACTCCCACGGGCCAGGCGCGGGGACCCCCCAACAACAGGGCCATCATCCCACCCACCAGGGGCAGAGCGCGGGAGGGCTGTTCTGCTGAGGAGAGTGCTGGGAGGAAGGTCACCATGGTCCTACAGGGCGTGGCCTCCTGCCCCAAATGCGGCTATCGGCAGAGCAACCTGCACCGTGGGAAGGGAATGGGCTGAAATGCAAGCCCCGCCTGGCCCACTGTGGTCCATGATGCTGAAAAGACAGCTCTGAAGGCCGGGCTGTGCCCACTGGGGACCCCCTGAAAAAGGTGCATTCTATTCCAGTGATGGCTCAGCAACCCTCCCACACCCGGTACCCTAATCTGACCATGCCTGTTTCCCCTGCCCCTAAAACCCAGAACTTTCCATGACTTCCTCCACCAAAAGGCTGTTGAGTGTGTGGCCCCCACTCCTGACTGGCCCCTCTGGAGACCAGCCCCATCCAGGGACACCCCACCCTGAGCTGGAGTTACAGTGTCTCCTCACACTGCACCCCAGGGGCTGCCTGGACACCTACCACCACCACCCACTCCACCCCCACGTGACAACGCGTGCCACCCATTATGTCTGTGAGCATCCCATGAGTGGCAGTGGGTTGGCTGAGGGACCAAGGGCTCCAGGGCCCCCGAACCTGGTTCTAACCTCTGCTCAACCATGTACAGTGGGACAACACCTGCCCTTGACTCAACCCTCCGAGCCCCAGCTTGGCAGGAGCCACCGTCCACTTGGTACTTCCCCTGGGAGAGGCGGCAGCTCCTGCAGGTGGGGTCCTCTGCACACAGCGGGGACCTGTCCTCACCTCCCTGTTCTTGTGCATATTCAAGTTTGAGATCCAAGGTCCCACACTGATTGGGTGCCCATGGACCACAGGCTCCCAGTCAAAACCCTGTAACGTTCATGGGGGGCAGAGGATCCACATGTGAAGCCAACACCCCAACCAGGAGGGAGCAGGACTGCAGAGGTGCGAGACCTGGGCAGACCAGGAACCACCCACCTGAAGTCTGCTTTCTCAATTCCCTGCTTCACTTCAGCAGGAGCGTACTTTCAATTTCTGCTAAAATCTGATCGTACTTCCAATTTCTGCTAAAATCTGATCGTTGAGTGACACGTCCTAAAGGACACATTGTAACTAAATGTCTGATGTGAAAACTGATTTCCCCACCCGCCACAGGTGGACTTGTGCCTGCCGCAGAGTCAGGATGCGGGGGGCGGGCGCGGCGTGCGGGGTCTCAGCCTTCCTTCCAAGGGTGAGTGAGGATGCCGAGGAGCCAGAGGGGACCCAGGCCATGGCATGCAGGTCTTCCCACCAACTTGCCTTCCTGAGGCATGGGGGGACCGTGGCAGCTGGGTGAGCCCTAGGACCCGTCACCTCGTGCCCTCCATAGACAGAGATCTTCAAAGAAATGCAAACCTGACCACGCTAACAATGGCCAATTCCAGAGGGCGGCCCCTGGTTTTTAGTTATACCTCATACTTTTCTGCTTTATAAACTTACCCAAAAAAAGATCAGAACCAACAGGCCTTGAGTGAAGACAACAGAAGGAGTCCCTCCAGGGCTTCTCTCCATGACACGCCGAGACTCCCATCAGTCATCCCAGGAACCAGCAACAGGAAACACAGCCACACCCGACCTCACACAGAGACTGCCAATCCATGGTTCCCTTTCTAAGCTGATTTTGTCGGACGGCCAGTAAGCCCAGACTCCTAGAGTCCTGACCCAGAATGTGGGGCAGGGTGACCTGTGTTCCTAAGAGCCCATTTTCCAGCTACACCATCTGTGGCATTTGGACCGGCCACACATGACAAAAGTGGGGGTCCTGATGCTGAGAGAGCCTCTGCTTCGAGTTCTTTCCTGCAGGAGAACCGCCTCCTCTTCCACCTTCTCGCTGGCCCTGACGTTCTACCACCTCCCCCATCCCACCCCCAGAGCACCCAGCCCACCTTGACATGGTAGTGGGCGTCCAGCAGGATGTTGGCGGGCTTGAGGTCCAGGTGCAGAAGCGGCGGGGTCATGCAGTGCAGGAAGTTCATGCCCACAGCCGTCTCATGGATGATGCGGAAGCGCAGGTCCCAGGGCAGTGGCTCGGAGGCCAGCAGCTTCTCCAGGGAGCCAGTCTCCATGTACTCCATGACCAGGCCCACGGGCTCCCGGCAGATGCCGTACACGGGCAGGATGTAACGGAACTTGGCCATCTCCATCTTCTTGGCTTCTTCCAGAAGTTCCATGCGCTCCCTGGAAAAGTTCAAAGACATGAGGAACATGGCGGGCAGCAGTCCCCTGGCCGCAAACACGGGCACCGCGGCCAGGAGACAATCAGCTCCATGCAGCTGACAAAATTGCTAAAACGCACATACACATATGTACAAATGTATGGATGAGTGTGCACACATACACACAGGGCTCACTTTATTGTCAAATACAGTGAGTCCCCTACATACAATAAAGTTCCTTTTAAGAGCATGTTTGTAAGTCCAACAAAGTGAGCCTAGGTACCCAACTAAAACAATCGGCTATATAGTACTATACTGTCATAGGTTTATAATACTTTCAGAAATAATACATTAAAAAACAAAGACAGATAAGAAAGAAACACTTTTTAACCTTACAGTACAGGACCTTGAAAGCTCCAGCATACCGCAAAACAGCTGGCACACGGGGGCACATTCACATCTTTGAAAGTTGGCAACTTAAAGGTTCGTATGTAGGGGACTTACTATAACAAAATTCTGGGCCCTCCGATGCCTTCAGTTCCATGGTTATTCAAACACATCTACATGTTTTGGGGTTATCATAGGTGAAAACAGAGACTGATCATGATCTGAAAACTCTCAGGCAGCCCTGAGCCAGTGCAGGCTCTGGGCTTCAGATGGGGCGGCTGATGCTGACAAACCCTTCTTTTGGGATGACAGAAGGGACGTTCAGGTTAAAAGCTGTAATGAACTGTCCACCCGAGGAGCTCAGTCCCCTCCCTTCTTTGCGAAGCCCATCACTCCAGCGGGCCTCGTCATTCCTGACCGCAACCCCACACTGAAATTCACAGAGCACTGGTCTCAAGCAGGGTCTGCAGAGACCACTATCCAAAAGCCTCCTTGTCTTTAAAGCCACTGTAGTAAACTACACGTAACACAGTATTTATAACTGTGACCATTCACAAGTGTGCAATTCATAGGCATCAGTATCCATCCATTATCCATTCAGTGTATAATCAACACTACTCTCTCCACCCAAACTCTGTCATCATCCCAACAAAAACTGACAAAAACCTCTTTGCCCACCCCAACAGGAACCCTCCTCGAAGCCCCCAACCTCTTTTCCACTTTCCAGGACCTCTATGGACTTCACATAAGTGGAATCATATAAAACCTGTCCTTTAGTAATTTGCTTATTTCACTCATCATGCTTTCCAGGTCCACCCATGTTGGAGCACACACCAGAACGTCACTCTCCTCAGAGCTGAGTAACATTCCATTGTGGGAACCGACACGCTGTGTTTATCTGCTCATCTGCCGATGGGCACTTGGATGGTCTGCACCTTTCAGTTACTGGGACTAATGCTGTATATTATACACACAGGTGGTTCAAGTCCCCGCTTCTACCTCTTGGATACACTCTGAGAAGGAGAGTTGCCTGGTCATGTGGTATTTCTAGGTCTAACCTTTTGAGAAACTGCCGAACTGCTGTCCACGGCCAGCTCCTATTTTGTAAAGGAGCTCTGACTGGCTGGGAGGCTTGCCCATCCATTCATGTCCTGGGGGCAGGACAGCCTCCACACTCAAGGCAGAGATGCGTGGCCACAGCCCAGACTCCGTGGGATGCAGAGCCTGAAAGATTCGCTCTCTCCTGTCACAGAAAGTTGGCCAACCCCGCTCTACGTCACTTCCTGGTGCAGCCCACGGCCTTACAGCCTAGCACCCAGGGCCTTGGTCACGGTCAGTGTGACGGGTCAAAGTCTCAGGGTGCATCCAGGAGAAGAGGCTGAGGCGCAAAAGGACAGCGTCTGGCCATCGCAGAAAGGACCCGGGAGCTGGCTGAAATGCAGATTCCTCAGCCCTGCTCCTGGAGAACGGGCTCCGGGTGGGTGCCAGGAACCTGTTTTCTCGGAAGCTCTTAACGGACAGTTCAGAAACACATAGCCCACGGGGCGCTGGGAACCGAGGCAAGAAATGGTGCAAGAGGCCGCAGGGACCACCCTCCCTCAGAAGGCAGACTCCCACACCAGCCACCAGCCCAGCCAGGCCCAGGATGGCTCGTTCCCACCGCAGGGGCTCTTCTGGAGTCCGCGTGCACTGGCCCAGCCCGCCTACACCTGGTCCCGCTCCTCAGCCTGCTGGAGAGTCAGAAACCACCGAGAAAAACGAGTCTGTTTCTCACTGACCAGCCTCCTCTCTGTGACCACAGCTCACTCCCAGGCTCCCGTCACAGGTACAAGAGCACTTCCCAGGGTGGGGCCGCCAGCACGGAGGAGCCGTGACACGCTGACACCGGCTCTGGCTCTGCCCTCGGCGGGCTCGGCTGGACAGCATCTCAGCACCTCTGCCCCCCTGTCCAGCCCCTGCATTTGGGAGCGGAGCCCCCCACCCTGTGAACACTCACCAAGGTGGGCGCCTCAGGGAGAGGATCTCTGGGTGTAGACCAGTGGTTCTTACCCAGGGCAAAGTCTGCCTCCGGGGGCGCTGGGTACTGCCTGGAGACACCTGGGTTGTCACAGCTGGGGGCTGCTGGCATCCAGCGGGGAGAAGCCAGGCGCACCGCCCGCCCCCTACCCTGCAGTGCATAGGACAGCCCCCAAGGCCAAAACTTATCCAGCCCCCAAAGCCAAGGGTTAAGCCTGACAACCCCTGCCACAGAGCTGATGCATTTTTAGCCAGATTTAAAATAAACCACTACAGCCTGGAATCGCCCACTTCAGTACTCCCAGCATTTGCTTTAATTTTAATCTGTATCCAATTAAAATTCATTTTTTGACATGTATTTACTGCACACCCTCTACATCAGTTAGAACTGATGACAAGAGACCCTTCTCCCTGCCTTCAGGATATTTACCTTCTAGGGGAGATGGAAAATTACCCCCAAAAAAGAGGTGTCACTGAAAAATCCGAGATCTTTGAAGGGAAAGAACAGGGGCCTGGGGAGGTTTAAGAAAGGGGGTCCCTAACTTGGGTGGGCAGAGGGCAGGCAGTGAGGAGGTCACAACCCCACTTCTGCAGGGGGCCTCGGGCTAGGAACCACGGAGCAGAGGGGCTACACACTCAGGGAGGTCACCGGGGCCCCGGCTGCCAGAAGTAGAGGGGGAGGGAGCTGGTGGATGTGGGGCTCATTTCTGAATGAGAATCATTCAGGCTTGGTGACTGGATGTGAAGAGGGAGGGAACAAGAGTGGCCCTAGAATGCTACTGGGAATACTAGGCGGCTCCCCACTCAGGGAAGCAGCAGGAGGTGGGAGGTGGGAGGGGTTGGGGTAGGCTAGTTCTAAACAGGTTCAAGGAACAAGAGAACCCCACTGGCCTCAAACACAAGTGTGACAGGTATCAGGAGTAAATAAAAACAAAAAATAAATAAAGACTACAAAACAAAACTGAGCTAACTGGCCTCAGATGCACTTCCTTAGCGCTCTGGTTAAAGAGCCAATGAATGGACAGCAGGATGCCCACAAGAGCCCCTGTGGGGGCCCCAGGCTGGGCTGAAGCCTGGGTTTAGATGCCTGGCCCCAGCCAGCCCCTCCCTGCAGCCACACTGCTCGCTGGGCTCCAGGAAGACCTGCAGACAGACCCCAGCCCTGTACCCAATCTCGAGGGACATCTATACCAGAAAAGGGCTGGATCAAGCATCATTTAAAATAAAGGTAGTAAAGGACAGGGAAGCCTGACATGCTGCAGTCCATGGGGGTCACAAAGAGTTGGACACGACTTAGCAATCGAACAACAACACAAATCTCTTAAGGGTCGGAAACGGCACCCTTGGCCCATCTCCTTCTTCCTCCTCCGGGGAGACCTCAAGTCACTTACACTAACCAGTTCAAGCACCCTCCTCTGACACTCACTGCCCAGTGATGAGGACTCGCACCGGGGCCGCTTCTGTTCCCTACTGAGGGATCAGTTTTGTGACTTGTCTGGCCCTCTTGCCTTCCTTCATATTCTTTTAAAGTGACTGGTGTGCCACCGCTCCCCACCAGCGTTAGTCCAGCATGCAGCGCTCACGTGGCCCTGACGCACGTTTGGTCACGGGAGGGACAGAGACACACTTCCACCAGGAGTCCCCCCGGGCCTGCAGGCTTCCAGGCACTGCTGGTTCCAGAGCTTACAGGCCAGACACTCAGAGGATATTCTGCGAGCCAGCCCCAGCCCCACCCCCCTGCCAGCCTGACAATAGCCAAGGAGGTTGTCAATTACACTGAGGCTGAAGGTCTTATGAAGAGCGGCTCTGTGCCTCTCAGCAGAAGCATTTGCTTCCATTTGCCCAAAGGGCTGAATACGTAAGACCCAGGTGACTTCTGATGGCTGAGATCGTTAGGCTCAGAGGAGCTGCTGGCAGCAGATCACTCACCGCCCAACCAGCCGAGGTCAGCAAGTTCCCGGCTCTCTCCCCTGCCCCAGGCCCTTCCCGCCAAACTGAGACCCCGTTAACTTTACTTTGTTTAGGGGGTGCGGGGTGGGGGTGGGGGGTTGGGGGGGGCGGCGGTGGCGGCCCTGCAGCTGTCTGCTCCATAAAGTTGACTATGGCTGGACTATTCGAAGACAGCCTGTATGTACCCTTTCGGGAAGCAACACCAGGCAGGCCTAGTGACTGACACAGGTCAGTGTGACCACTGACCACACATCCTAGGACAGTTGGAGGAGGAAAGTGGGCTATCCCGGAAATGAAGTCTGCGTTTCCAGGGACAAATAACCTTCTCCGTGACAGCTCAATCATAAACGCCTTAAAGCCGAGGACCCTAGCCTGGCTGCACCCACCAGGGAGGGGAAAGGGGTTCCCGGACCACGCAGGGGGGTCAAGGGAACCCGGAAGGAGCCCCTCACACGGACCTGGGGGCGGGCTGACCGAGCCCCATAACAACCCTCATTGTTCAGGTTCAGGAGACACAAAAGGTGTCCATACCATTTATCCTCTAGGCCTCTCTTCACTGGGCCTCTGGTGCCCTGCCAGGACCCCCCACCCCACCCCACTCCTGGCAGTATCAGCAGTTCAATCAGTCGGGGCTGTGCTGGGCTGGGCCCTTTCTGGCAGGTGCTGGAAAAGACAGGAAAGTGCTTCTTACACAGAATGAAACCACCACTGTGTTTTCGTCAATTTAAATGCACTTTTCCTCGAAGCAGTGTTTCCAGTTTATGCTGACAACAACACACAAAGGATGGAGATTGGATATTGTGATGACTGCTATTATGTAAGGACCAAGAGAGATTGTCAAACTGGTCCCAGAGCCCAGGTGCAGGAACGGGCCAGGGGCCTGCAGGTGCCTAGACTCCTCACCATCAAATCCCATTCCACCCAGCGATGGGTGAAGCTCCAGCCACCAGAGTCCACTGACATCAGTCTTCATTAAACCCCAAAATGGTGACGTGCTAAAAGCGTGTCTACAATTAGGCATAATTCAGTAGGGCTGGTATCATGTTTCTCTTCTGTAATCATCTCAATCACATCTTTCTCCCATTTGGGGAAGGGCTCCTGTTTCCCAGCAGGAATGGGGGAAAGCACCCCCGCCCCACCCCCTCTGAATACCAAGCTGGGGTCCGATTTGTTAACGACACTTAGGTCAGTATATTTCGGTCAGTACAGTCTTTCCTCTGGCTGAAATCCATTTCCCCCACCTGAGAGAAGGTGTGGTGTGGGGAGAGATGAGAAATCTCACCAGACTGATCATTCTTTTCTTTCTTTTGATATTTATTTGACAGTGTGGGGTCTCAGTTGAGGCATGAGGGATCTTTTGTTGCAGCCTGAGCTGAGCTGCCTTTCAGCTCCTCGGATCTCAGTTCCCTGCATCAGAAGGAGTCTCGGCCACTGGATCACCAGGGAAGTCCCAAACTGATTTTTTCCAAAGGACCTTGTTTTGGAGAAGCCGTGGGGATCTCCTCCAGTCTCAGGCAGGAATTCCAAAGACATCCAACCATATCTGGAAACAAGTACCTTGGAGGGAGGAGGGGAGAAAATGGGTTCTGGGACTCAGCCTTCTGAAAAAGGAGCAGCAGGAAACTGCGGGCAGAGAAAGAAGGGTGGAGGTGCAGGGAAGGGCATCTGGTAACAAAGAGCTTCTCAGAGAGAGAGAGAGAGCTGGGAAGCACCTTTGGGAAGAGGCAGTGGGAGCACCGTTTAATCATTCCTGAGTCTCCCAGCCAGGCCTCCTTTCTGTGCACCAACCCAGTTACGTTCCCAGGGAGCCTGCAAGGGGTTCCCACACTGCTATTTTTAAAACGGACAAGAACCGGGCTTGTCGGAATGTCGGCTCTGTATGTACAAACCTGGGGTTTGCTCAGGCTCGCCCCAACGAGCCTTGGCCAATCACCCAGCAGCTGCTGGTGCTCAGCTATCCCCGGCTTCCTCTTAGCCAGGGGTGGGGGCCAGAGGAATGGGCCTGCAGGGCTAGTTCCCACCTAAATGGGAATGCCCACCCGCAGCCCCCCCCCCACCAACTAAGCTCTGCCCGAAACCTCTAGATCCCCTAATGAGGGTCAGCCGGGGGGACACACATCTTCCCTGAGCTACCAGATGTCCCCATGAGAGGAGGGGGTGCAGAGGAAGGGGGCATCAGTTCTCCCAGGTACCCCTTGGAAGCTACTTGGCAGGTGATCCTCTACCTGCTGCGAACTTCAAGGGGTGTCTGGGACCAGGCAGCCCCTGACTTTCTCACAGAGAAATATCTGCTCACATGGTCTGGGGCAGCCTGTTGCTCTGAGGAGCCTGGCTCCTGAGGGGCCAGGAGACCCCAGACTCCCTAGAGGGAGAAGCAGCTGATGAAAATGAGCCCGCACCTGTACCTGCAGTGGGTCCCTATGTAACCAGTGGAAGAGGCCCTCCGAAGGAAAAGGGCAGGCCCTTGTGGAAGGGGTGAGAAGTACCACCCTAAAAAGAGGTGAGACAAGACTTGGCCAGGAGGGGCACGGGGCTGGGGGCTGCGCCCAGGAACCTCAGTCAAATCAACTCCCCGCTCCAGGAAACATCTTGCAAACAGAAGGGTCAGGATGGTGAGCAGCTCATCAAAAGAGCATGGAACCAACCTGTGGAAATCTGGCAGGACACTCCACCATTCCAAGATAGGGATGCAAGCCAGCTTCCCCTGCACCACTGAGGGAGGGGCATGAACTCCGAATGAGAATCTCAAACCAAAGCGTCAATAATTAACCCTGAAGAGTTTTCTTTACAAAGAGCAGGGGTTTGACCATCTTCTCAATCAGAGGAATCCGCTGGTAACGCAGAAGCCAGCCTGCTCCACTCAGCCTGGCAAAGCGCAAGAGGTGAATTCTTCCTGCTGGGCAATGCTGACCTCGACCCAGCTGCCCAGCAGATGCCTCCACCTGCCTATTTCAGGCAGAGCAGGAAAGCCTTCCAGTTACAGGACAAAACATTTTTCAACCAGGCCACGCAAGATCCTAAGTGGCCTGCCTCACGTGGAGAAACCCGACCGCCAACTGGGCCACCCAAGAAACAAGGGGTTGGACGCTGGAAATAACAGATCCTAGGGAGGGCTGATGAGTCAGCCTGGGGACCTACTTGTTTACTCTGCTCTTCCAACACAATAAGGTGATGTTAAAAGCCTTCACTGATGAAGAAAACTCGGCCGGAAGACTCCAGCAGACAAATAAATGCCCTCGAGAGCGTAAAAATATCTACACAGCGGCAAGAGTCTTACCTTTCAGGATCTAACTATTGGCTGGCATTCAAAGTGGTTCAGATTTCATCAAAATAACCACAGTGCCCTTCCCAGACTGAGAAGCTCCCAGGATCCGAGGCGCAGCTTCTCAGGCAGCTCACTTTTGAGCTGGTGATATTTCCATGACACTTGTCACCACTTTACTGAAATTTGAGGCTTAGAGCAAAAAGTCACCAAAAGCTCTGCTGCATAATCTCTTAGGCCAGGATGAAAACGCAAAGCCACTGGATGTCCAGGGCTTCCTCCTATCCAGGACCACGGGCTGTGGCAGCACGCACTGTGATTCTGCATACCTCAGTCCAGGGAACACACATGGCCACCCTGGAAATGAGCACTGCCACCACTGGGGAGGAGGGGGATGGCGGGTGGAGGCGGGGAGCTAGAGTTTGTAGGCCCCATCACTCAATAAGCCGAGGATTAGAAACCAGGTCTCTGAAATGGCAAAGGAGTCACCTTTCTAGTCTGTGTCTGTTCAGGGCTGACTATAGAGACAACTGTCCAAGAACCCGCCTGTCAATGCAGGAGACCCAAGAAACACTGGGTTCGAGCCCTGAGTGGTGAAGATGTCCTGGAGTAAGAAATGACACCCCATTCCAGTATTCTTGCCTGGAAAGTTCCATGGACAGAGGAGTCTGGTGGACTATAGTCCATGGGGTTGCAAAGAGCCAGACACAACTGAGCAATAAGCATTGCATGGCATGGCTCCATACAAAACACAAATGCCACACAACTTCCATGTTGAATGCAAACTTCACCAAAGGGTACGTAATTTAGATGCACTCAATTAAAGCTTATAAATTATTAAAATGCAACCATAAACAGTGAACAACCCCCAGCCAAAAAGAGCTGCTTTTCAAGACTCCCACCTCCCTCTCCCCTAAAATTACACACAGACCATAACCCACCAACTGAATTTAACTGGGGCAGCTCTGGTCCCTTCCAGCTGTCTTTATCTGAGCGCCCCTGTTACCTAGGGGCAAGCCGATGTCTTCCCAGTTTTGGATGGGGAAACCCGGTTCTAGGAGGGCGCAGTGGCCTGGCCACAAAGCGGGTTAAGTGCAAGGCCGCTCCCCCAGAGGCTTGGCCTGGAAATAAAATCAACCTAAAAGAAAGTGTGCGACCAGAAAGCGCCGAGTGTTTTAACAGGGCTCCCGGGCCGCCTGCCGGACCCCACCGCCAGGCCCAAGCCAGGTAGCGCCGACTCTCAAGTGCTAGGGCTCCGAGGAAGCCTGGCCAAGCCAAATCCAGGGTTTCCGACCGAAATAATTACAGTCTCACACCAATTTGTGCTCCAAAGTAAATTACTAAGTAAGTCGAACGGAGACTAACTCACTCACAAAGCCCAGATCCCCACAAGGCAATTTTTCTAAGCCGGGCGCAAACCGCAGCGCCAGGGTGGGACCTGGGCGGACCGGCCGCGCTACCGAGGGTCGAAGACGCAAGGCGAGCCCGGGACCCTGAAAATCCGGGGCTCACCGGAAGCCGGGTAACAATACAAGGCACTTAACAACTCCTTAGGCGAACGCAGCTACCCGAGGTTCTCCCGTAGGAGCCGCATCCCGGGACCCCGGCGGGAGCAAATAGACCCGGAGCTCGCCAAGCCGCCCCCCGCGTCCCTCCCACCAGGCCAGCGGCGCCGACCCCGCCGGGGGCTCACGGCCTCTCCCGGCGCTGGGTTTTCCTGCCGAGGCTGCTCCGGAGGCCACTCGGGTGGAGAGAACGGGAACGCCCGGAACCCAGGCTCCCCACTGCCCGCCCAGCGCCGCTTCCCCGGCCCCGGCCGCTGACCTGTCGTCGACGTGCAGGCTCGGCGAGCACTTGATGGCGAGCCACGTCTTCCAGTGGACGTGGCGCACTTTGTACACCTGCCCGAAGCCGCCCGAGCCGACTTTCTCCCAGCCCGCGAACTCGCCCGCGTCGAAGGTGCGCAGCAGCCCCAGGGCCCACGGGCCCTGGCTCTCGCCCTCCATCGCGCGCGTCCAGCCGCCGCCCCGCGCCGCCGCGGCCGCCCAGGTGCCCAGGTGCGCGCCCCGCCCAATGACGTCACGTCCGCCGTCGGCCCCGCCCCCGCTGGCCCCGCCTCCCGGGCACCAGGTTGGGCCGAACGACCCACCGCGCAGGTGAGGTCGCAGGATCCCCAGCGTGAGAAGGACCTGGCGGTGCGCGCGGCTGCGGGCCTGGGTGTGTGCGTGTGTGTTTTAGATCATCGTAGAGCCATGCGCAGTTGTAAAAAATAATTCACTCTGCCAAAGTGCTATCACTTTACAAAATTTTGCAAAAATAGAAAAAAGTAGATACTGACTTTGATACAATCCGCCCATCTTATTCAGATTTCTCCTATATTCTTTGTTAGAAAGAAGTTCTATACAATGTTACCACTTGTGTAGATTCGTGTATCCACCAGGACAGTCAACATTTGGAACATTACATCACGCGGGACCCCCTCCTGTGGCCCTTTTATAACCGAACTCCCAAGCCCCATCCACCGCTAATTTTCTTCTATTTCTAAAATCCTGTTATCTCAAACTACCTTATGTTCCCACACAGGAATCACAGCTTGGGAGCTTTTGGAATTGGCCTTTTGCACTCAGCATAATTCTCTGGAGATTCATGTCTCACTTTTTCACACCGAAGTGTCCACTTTGAAAGTAACTTGTTTTGTTTTGTTTTTCCATCACCCCAGCAGAAAATCTAAAAGTGCATTCCTAAGACAGCAGAGGTTTCCATCTTTTCCTAGAGAGCAGCATCTTTTTACACATAGAAGCGGCCACTTGAAAAGATGCTTTTCCACCTTTGGGAGAGAAAAAAAAAATTTCCCTCCTGAATACTCCCTGCTCTTGGAAAGATATCTGGATCAGAGGTCGAGAAGCGTGATTGTGAACTTCCATGCCTAAAATACCACTCATCGAGTGTATGGCTATGCGGTGAGAGATTTATTTTTGGCCAAATAGATGAATAATGGGGGTAGGATGGGGGAGATGAGAGAGAGAGCATTTTAATGACATCAACTGTATTTTTGTGTTAGTCACCAAAAAGGAGACGTTGATCTTGGGCAGCATATGGAAGCCTTAGCTCTCACAGACCTTACCTTCCCATAGGCACATAATCTTAGTTCACAGCCAGCACCTGATCCCCATTTTATCTTCTCTTTGGCGAATAGTCACACAGTGAAACAGGGCAGTACTTGTTCCGGGGCCTCTTGGGAAGATCAGGAGATCATATCCTTTTCCATGTAATCTTGAAATCAACATTGATCTCCTTGAGACTAGAGTGGCAAATAGTTATCTCAAGCTGGCTCATGGCAAATGTAACTAACATTTTAAAAATCATTGGGATTTAAGATATATAAAGACAAGTTGAAACATATAACATGGTCATTGTTTTGAGGGGGAGAAAAACAAAATTGGGTAGAAAATGAGTCTCTTGGGCTCCTTCTGCCACCTTTCTCTCAACTTCCTATCAACTCCCAAGTCTCACCTACAGGAAGTTCAGCAGGCTTGGTGACTAACAGTCCATACCAGTCTAGTAATAAAACACACCAATTTCATTTCTTTAATCACCTGCTTGCTTCACTTGACAAATATTTATGGAGTGTCTGCCGCAGGCTCAGTGTTGGCCTCCTGAACTGGGGATCCAGAGCCCACAGGGCCCTGCAGAGCCAGCCCCCAGCTGCAAGTAGATGGAGCCACAGATTTGGGCCAGGGCTGGCTGGACTGGCCCGGCTGCTCCTCCAGTTGTACTGGGGTCCTCATGTCTGCCTCTCTAAGGGTCAGGTTTTTCATCTGTGAAACAGTTTCCTTTACATGAATTGTAAAGACAGGTGGGTTCTAGACCTTTTGGAAATATAGGAGAGTAATCATTATTTATGTTAATAATATTTATGTTATTTATGTCATTTATGGTATTTATGTTAATGGCAGGTAAGGCTGATATTTCCAAACATGACAGTAACTTACAATCAAAAACAGACTTATATATATATAGAGAGAGAGAGAGAGAACCAACTAGTGGTTACCAGTAGGGAGAGAGGCAGTATGGGTTAGGTGATTAAGTGTTAGTCTCTCAGTTTTGTCCGACTCTTTGAGACCCCATGGGCTGTAGCCTGCCTGGCTCCTCTGTCCATGTAATTCTCCAGACAAGAATACTGGAGTGGGTAGCCACTCCCTTCTCCAGGGGATCTTCCTGACCCAGGGATCGAACCCAGAGATTGATCCCGGTCTCCTGCATTGCAGGCAGATTCTTTACTGTCTGATCAACCAGGGAAGCCCCTATATGAGTTAAGCATATACAACTGAAATGCAAAACTTTTAATGTTAGCTTTAAAATACAATAAGCCTTATTAGAATATTACATAAGAAATGCATACTGGAGTGAATTTTCCATCTTAAAAGAGCTGTAGCGAGTTTCTTAGTAAACAGAGAAACCTTATCTGTGTTTTGTAAGCATTCATATTCAAGGAAATGATTGAACTCACTGCAGCTTCAATACTTTTTATATCACTGAGAACTTTTAATCAAAGCACCAACTTTCACTTTTAATACATTTTAGGTAAAAGTAGAAGTGGATTGATTTAAAGAAAAATATTATGTGGATAACAGTGCAAGCAAGCCTTGCATCTCGCACTTGGCAAGTGGTGATCGTGAGGGTCCCTGCGACCGCATCTTCGCAGTGCCTGGGTGCCCGATGCGGTAGGCAATCGTCAGCCCAACGGTGGGCGCCCCATTAGGGCGCTGCGCCGTGCACACCGCAAGAGCTCCAGGCGGGAAGTTTTTTTGTTCGCAGAGCCCCGAGGGCTTGATGCTCAGATAAGAGACAGCTGACCCGCCGGGGCGCCCGGGTGAGCAGGGGAGGGGCAGTGAGGAGGAAACCCACAGGGATGCTGCTGGCCCTTCTCCCTAAGAATTCCTAAGTCCGCTCCCTCCTCCTCGGGTCCTCGGCCGGTGCATCTCAATAGGCGGTCCCTCGGGTTGTGCCCGGCTGCGAGGAGATGTCCCCTTCTCCACGTGGCCATTTAGCACGGCGCGCTGACCCTGCGGGCCAGCCTGGGGCTGGGAACTGCCTCTGTCCCACCGTGGGGACAGGCCGACCCTGCAGGCAAATGACAAGCAGCTGCGAAGATTCTCCCGGGGCAGGGTCCCAGCGCCGCTCCTGTGGATGAGTTTGCGGGTCCCTGAAGTGTGGGTGCCTGCCTCAGGTTGGCGACGGTCTCCAGGGAGTGCGCATGGCAGATGCCTGGTGAAGGATAAACTGTGTCGGTTGTTTGTTACTTCTCAGCCGTGCGTCGGCTCCGAGAACAGACACCTCTCTTTGTCCTCCGTAGGGTCCCCAGAGCCGCGCGCCCCCTGACACAGCCTTCCCAGGCAAATGGCTCACTTAGGTCCTGGAGCCAAGCTGGGACTCACCGTGGTCCCCAGGCCCAGAAGGAAGCCAGAGCCGCTAACATCCTCCCGCGGGACCGGCCCACAGGGAGAGGGAAGTGGAGCCCCGGACACGCCGCGGCATCCTCCACACCCCGTCCACCCCCCAACCCTCCGCTCCCCCTGCCCCCCCCCATCCTCCCCGCCCTCCCAGGGGCTCCTCCCAGGCCTGCCCCTTCCCCCTCCCCTCCTCCTTCTTCCCCCACCTCCTCTCCCCCATCTTCCCTCTCCCCTTCTCCCCCTCCTCCCAGCCCTGCCCCCTTTCCCATCCCCTCCCCTCCCCTTCCCTCCTCCTCCCCACCCTCTCCCCGCCCCCTCCTGGCCCCCACTCTCTCTCCTCCATCCTCCAGGAGGCTCCTCCCAGCCCGGCCCCTTCTCTGCCCTGCAGGCTCCTCCCTAGGAAGGTGTCCTCGTTCACCTGGAACTGGAACTCCTGCAGCAACCAGCGTGGCCACTTCGGAGAATTCCCGGCATGATTTGAAAGCTATTTGCAAATAGAACCTAACTTGTTGGCTGCCAGCGATACTGCTTCCCTGAATTCTGAAAAAAAGTGATTTGGAAGAACAGGGCACCAGGAGCCAGATTCCTGGCAAGGATTTCCACAGCTGCCCCAGGGGTTGGGGTGGAGAGGAAGGAGGGGGAACTGACTCCCAATTTCTAGCTTTTCTCAAGCTACTGTGTTCTTTTTACCCAAACTCCCTTTTCAGAGACCACCTCCTCTGACCCTAGAGGTCCCGTATATGTCCTCCCTCGGGTCTTCCTGTGAGGTCAGGGTCAACACCCTGGTTGGCCCTCAGGTGGAGTGCAACATTAAGCACTTGTTTGTTGAATTACACTTGTGACAGTGCTCTGCCTGCTGGTATTTAAGCGGTGGGCTCCATCAAGCCCCATCCAGGCCCTCTTCCCCCTCACTGGATATTCCTGTCTTTATCCCTAGTCATCCAGGCCTCAGTTTCCATCTACTCAACAAAGACTCCTATATGCATAACTTCAGGCCAGACCTCTCCTCTGAGCCTCAGATCCCCAAATCCAGCATGGCACCCCACACTGGAATGTCTTTAAGCCACCTCAACACATTTGAGATGAGCCTATAATTTGCACCCTCAGACTGGTTTTTCCACCCATCTCTGTGAATGAGATGCCTTGTGTTCTGAAGGCCTGGAACAAAGAAGTATGTGAGAATCTCATGCACCCTCCATCCTACAAGATCCAGTCCATTGCCAACAGCTCCACCCTACACATGGACCACAGAGCTGCTCCAAAGGGCTCCTGTCTGCCCTTCTTGGGCTTGCCCAGGGCCAGGAGAGGCTCACCCATTGGCATCAAGCTCTGGGCATTTGTGACCCCAGAATTCTCAGCCCATATGTCCCCATGCCCACCCATCAGCCCCTGCATGGGTCTGTCTTCCAGAGAATGACCCCGCTGCTGAGATTTGCCAGCTGGACTTGGGCTCTCCAAGACCTTGGGAAGGTGGGTTTTTCAAAGCAGAAGGACAGAATACATTTTAAAAAAATTATTTTATTTATTTTTGGCTGTACTGGATCTTCACTGCT